CTCTTTTTGCTGGTGCCTCAAACCACCCTAAAAAATTGTTCAACATTTTTCTCCCATGAGCATTATGAACTCTTCGAGGGCATATCTCATTATTATTTGTCTTAATAACATATAGCCAACCCAATACTAACTCATGGTAACTACGTATGAGTATTTTTTAGGTACCAGGCCCTGAGCCAAGCCCATGGTCCACATGATCTCAGTCCATCCTTTCCACAGCCCCACGAGGCCTGCATTAACGTTGTCCCATTTCACAGATGAGCATGTTGAGGGCAAGCACTTGTTCCATGTCTCAGGGACAGTAATTGCAGAGTGTGAGCTGAGCTTCGGGCCTGGCTGCTCCATTCCTGGGAGAGGATCTATGGGTTATAGCGCTTCCTAAAGGTGCTCTGGGAAGGAATACCTGGTGACCGAGTGGCAAGCCTGGCTCAGGAGAGGATCAAATGAGAAGCTCCTAGGAACCTTGAGAGCCCTCTACTTATTTCTCAGGTGGGGTCAGAGGCCCAGGAAGGGGACAGCAAAGGTGGGCTGCGGCTCTGGGCTCTTGGGTGAATGACTGAGGCTTGGACCAGTCAAATTCCTGGGCACAGGGTCAGGCACGGCTGGGCAGGAGGGAGCTGCCTGTGAAAACTGTCCTCCCTGAAGTCTAACAGGTGTGCCTGTCCAGCTGGGGGGTGGGCATGGGGGTGAGCCCCTGCCACTGAGCTCCCATCATGGCTCAGGGCCCTGTGGGCAGGAAGGAAGGGCGCTCGGGGCCCCAGACATGCAGGAGGCTGTGGGCTCCAACCACAGGGGACCCAGGCCTCCTTAGAGCCTTCCCACTCTCTGAGAGTTGGCTTAGAACTCGAGCAGCTCCTGGCAGCGCCTCTTTTTAAGGGGGAGGGCTCTGGGTGCTATTTTAATTTATGGGACCACCTGACCTGGCTTGATTCCTTCTACCATCAATCAGGAGCAAGTGCTGCTCTGGCCAAGTTTGGCCACATGCCCTTGACCTTCTACTGGCCGGCCCATCCAATGGTGCCTGTCCCTGAGGCTGGGGGCAGAGAGCTCAGTCCAATGATATGCCAGTCCACATGTCTTTCATTCATTCACGCAACCAAGAAGACCTGCATTGACTCGAGGGCCAAGGGGCATGGGAACAGGAAGGTAGTGACATGGAGGAGGACACCCCTAAAGCACAAGTCCCCAAAAGCAGTGCAGTCAGGGGTCTGGGATCTGTGTAGCCAGGGCACGGCTCGGCAGAGGCAAGGGACCATTGTTAACATCACCTCTGCCCTGAAGCTCCTGCAGACCTCAGGATACAGGTCCTGCCTTCTCTCTGCCAGGGTCGGGGGGGACACCAGCCCCATCGGGAGCTCTCACCTGCCTGGACAGATGGAGCAGGTGTCTCCACGGCCGGTCGGTTCGTGGGGCAGTGGGAGAGTTGGCCAGTAAAGAGTTGGCCTCACTTTATTCCAAGGCTGCCTTTCTCCAATCTCTCCCAACTTTATGGGTGGCCCTGGCTCCAGGGAAGGGACAACATCCCTCACCAGAGGGGAGGTGAAACCAACCTCAGACACCGCTCATTTTGTGCCCCTCTCCAATTTCCAGCCAGAATCAGATGGGGACCCAGGCCAGTCCCAGTGGAGAAGCGACTGCCAGGGAAAGGGACCACGGTGGGGATTGTGTGGACAGGGCATACATGTGCCAGACTGAGATAAATACTCACAAAAGTAGAAGGGAACAGCTTGTATCCTGAGCAACTATCTCAACGTAAATCTCCAGAACGAGACCGTACTTCCCCTTCCTGTGCATCTCCATGGGGAGGTCACAGCTTGCAGGAGGCCAGCGCTCAGACGTGGCTGAGTCAGGGCACCCATCCCCAAAGGGCCAGGCCTGCTGGGAGCAGGTGGGTGGACCCTGTGTAGGGTCTGCTGGGGATGAGGAAGGCAAGGCCCCTGCTGTGTCTGGAGGCGAGGGAAGCTGTGTCTGCATCGCAGGAGAGCGGGGCCAGGGCCCTTGGGGAAGGGAGTGGGTGCTGAGGGAAGCGTGTTCAGCCACCTCTGTGACTCAGAAGGAGTGAAGGGACAAGATACCAGTCCCTAAGTAACTGGGTCCAGGGCCTACCAGGCCTCATACCTTGGTGTCTCTTTGGAGACCCTGGGGGGCATCACATGGGGTCTTGAGTAAGGAACGGACGCAGTGGGAGATGGAGGGTTGAAGGGAGGTGGGTGACGTCTCTGGGTGCATTGTGGTCCTGGCTCAGGTGGAGGGTGGAAGAGAGGCCGAGGGTCATCCAGTTCAACCTGATAGTTTTAGGGTCACACAGGACAGAGTGGAGGTTGGACCTGAGTCCCCTGTGAGGCAGGGCAAGTGGCTTCCTCTCTGAGCTTCGCTCTCCTCCCCTACGAAATGGTTGGTCCCAGCAGGACCTCCAGGTCCATGGTGAGAAGACAGGTGATGACGCATTCGGTTCACGAGAGCGCACTGCTTTCTCCCACCGCTGTGAAGACTGACCGGAGCCCTTACAGAGGCAGGTACGAGGAGCCACGACAGCACTAAGAGCCCAGGCTCCTGAGTTCTGGAGGGGCTTCCTTTGACTACACCACTGGTTCTCAACTGGAGGAGATTTTTGTACTCCCGCCAGGGACAGCTGGAGACTTTTCTGGTTGTTACAATTGGGGACCGCTACCAGCATCTTGGGGTTAAAGCCAGGGATGCTGCTAAACATCCTGCAATGCCCAGGACAGCCCTTGCGACAAAGAATCATCTGGCCCACAGTGCAATGGCGCCAAGGACGAGAAGCCCTGCTCAAGGCCTGTGCTGTTCAGTACAGGAGCCACCAGCTGCGGGGGCCGCGGAGCATCTGAACCGATGTGAGTATAAATGCCCCCTGAGTTACAAAGCCTTACTATGAAAAAGAGGATGCAGACTACCCAATAAAAATGGTTACAATGATTCCGAGTTGAAAAGCTAGTAACTTGGATATGTTGGGTTGAATAAAATATACAACTAAAATTAATTTCACCTGTTTATTTTAACCTTAAAAACATGGCCGCTGGAAACCTGCAAATGAGATGTGGCTCTGACGGCGGCTTGCGCTCTGTTTTGGTTGGACGGTGATGGGCTAGACTGAGTTTCTCCTTTCGGGGGTGGTGCGGAGTCGTAAGTGAAGTGCAAGTCGGGGGGTGTGGGTCATTGTGGCTATGACTGGTTTCTTGAGAAAGGACAAAGGGAATTGTCACACCTCTGTCCCCTGCAAGATGGAAGATGACACCCTCCCACACTCCCTGTCCCCAGTTGGGCTGGGCCCCTCTCTGCCAGGGCAGAGGGAGGGCCGGGGGCCTGGAGGTGCCCCCCTTCTTTACTCCCCACCCCCTGCCAGCTACTCAGGCTAAGCCCAGCGAATAAACAGGCGGGTATGGTGACAGCAAAGGCTTAGAGACTTGCGCGTCCTGGCTCCTGGCCAGCTCCCTAGCAGTGCCCAGTTTATGATGGGATGAGAGGGAGGCTGGGGGAAAGGGGAAGCCCTCTTGGGGCACCGAAGACTGGGGCACACATCGCTGCTGTGTTATGACCCTCAGACACCACCCCTGGGGTTTACATGTGGGACACTGAGGCCAGGGGCAGATGAGTGCAGAGGTTCCTGGTCTGCTGTGACCCTGACGGCCAGCCCTTTGCCCTTGGAGAAGAAGCCTGGGGCTTGATGGTATCCTTGTGGTGGTCAGTGCCTGCTGAGGAGGTGGCAGGAGCATGGCTGGGCAGTGTGGCCAGGGCCACTGAAGGGGACAGAGAGAACAGGCTGGGGAGGGAGTGTGAAGAGACACAGGGGTGCAGTGTGGTGGGGGACCGAGTGAGGCAGGGCGCTCCAGGTGACGAGTTGGGAGCAATAAGCCACATTGTCACCTCCAGCACCACTCAAAGCACAGAGAAGGGTGACAACCCAAAGCTATCAGCACGGCCCCCCCTCAGTCCCACGCGCTTCCTCCTCTCAGCACAGACCCCTGCTATCTGGCGATGGGGAACATTTCGAATTCTTGGATAGAAGGCTGCCTGGCCCTGCCCTGGACTCTCCGTGACCCATTCACACCAGTCCCACCTCCACATGGCCAGCCCCTCTCGCTGAGGGGAGGTGGACCTCCAAACTGGACTTGGCTGCTTCCTGGGAGTTGGGAGTAGTGCTGGGCCCTGATCTCAATCCCTCCAGCCACATTCTCTGCCTCAGAAATCCTGCACCCCACCAAGTTCACCCCACATGGTTCAAGGTGGGGAAATGGTCCTGAAGAAGGGGCACTCTTCGGACGAAGATCCCACCTCTGCACTGTACCCTCAAATCTCAGCCAGGTGCTGCAAGGTCCCTCCCTGACCCCAGGGTGAAGTCAAGGGAAGGCATTTGGGGACAAGGTGCTCACAGCCAGTGTCTGGGGACGGGCAACCACCAGCAGCCCCCACAGGGCGAAATCGGAGCCTGAGCAACCCCCGGGGCCAAATTCCACCCCCAGGCAGCTTCCCAGCAAATTCTGGAGGAGCTCAGCTGATCTGGAAGTGGGGTGAGGGGCTGGGTGAGGGTGGGTTGGGAGGTGAACCAGGAGGGGCTGGGGGGAAGGAGAGAGCATAAAGGAGAATGGAGGGTCTGAGGGCAGGGTGGGGAAATGAAAGGGGAGAGGATGGCGGAGAAGAGGAGGGGTGCTGAGGTTGCCCTAGGAGCTGGAGAGGGTTAGGCGGTGGGAAGACTGGGGTGCAGGGGAGGGGGTCTGGGAAAGAGGCGGTGAGGGAGCTGGGGCTGTGTTAGGGTGTCTGGGAGCGCCTCAGGATTTCGGGGAGGCTGACACAAGGTTTGGGGCTGTCTGGTTTCTGGATGAGGTTCTTTGATTTCTGGGAGCGGGGTGAAGGGCAACTCGGGCTGGAGCAAGGCTGTCCGCGTCCCCGAGTCCCAGGACGGTCTCGGACGTCTGGGCGGAGATCTCCAGCTTGCCTGGCTTCCGGGGAGGGTGTGGGTTCGACGCCGGGGTCCTGCTCACCTGTAGACGTCGATCCAGAGGTGCGTGCCCAGCACGTACACCGCCTTGACGCGGCTCCCATACAGCAGCCGCACCGTCCGATCGCGCAGCATCTTTCCCGCAGCGGCAGTGCTTGCTCGTCCAGATCCGCCTGAAGCACCTGCAGCAGGTGAGCTTGCTGCAGCCCGCACGGGCCGCTGCCTGACGCACCCTTATTCGGGCGCCGGTGGGCGGGGAGTGGGCGGGGCTGCCTGCCGGCCCCATCTCAGTAGGCTGATGGCCTGTCTTTTATATATGACCACGCCCTCAACTCTTCAGCGCCCCCCTCTGGTTGCGTTGCGATTCAGCAGAGGCCTTTCCTCGGTTGACTTGTTCATTCATTCATTCAATACACTTTCAGTGGGCTCCCAGCTGTCGGGAGCCAGGGTGCAGGACCAGTAATTTCCTCCAGGTGCCCTCAGCCTTGAGGGGTAGATAATGCAAATGCGCTTTGTTCCAGGACAGGAGGTGGTGGGAACCCAGAGGGAGCAGGACCCTAGCCTGGGGTCTGAGACCTGAGCCTTTTTTAAGGAGGCCTTTGCGAACTAAGGAAGGGGAGAGAGGGAGCTGCCTGAGCAGATGCAGGAAGCCAGATACAGCCTGACACCCCTTCTCCATCCCCTGATCAGATTGGTGTTACCAAAGGGAGACTGGGAAAAGGGAACCCAGCAGCCGACATGGTCACAATGCCAAGGCAAGGCATGAGAAGGTGGAGGACGGGAACCTTGGCTTGGCTTCCTCAGAGAGGAGTGGTCAGGGGTGGAAGTGAAACGGCCGTTCTGGCTGCTGTGAATGGAGGTGATCCTGGAGGGGGTCAATGAAGATCCCAGCTGGGGCTTTGTGAGGGACTGGAGAGGGCGGGGGTGATCAGACTAGTGTTTGGGAGCTGAAATATTGATGTTCCAGGGGAGGGACAGTGAGGGGGCACCGTTCTGGCCTGTGTTGCTGGGCAAAGGAGGGTGCCAGCGGGTGCCACTGGGGACATCAGTTTGTCTTCCAGAGGCTGAGGTGCAGGATGACGTCCAGGCGGAGCCTGAGCCAGCCCCACCCCTAGCCCTGACCATTCCCACTCTGAAGCCAAGCCAGGGCCTGTTCGGATAATTCAGCCATGTTGTGAGTAAGTAGTCCCTGGGGACGGGAGCTGGGGTGCGGGGCTGAATGGGCAGAGGCTAGAAGAGGGAAGGAGCAGGTTGAAAGTGATGAATGTTCCAGAAGCTCTGCTGGGGGGATGGGCGCCCTAAAGGGTTGAGGCTCAGAAGTGGGAAGAGCTGACACACCCCTGATCCCAGTGGCCTCCTCCAGGGGCCCGAGTTAGAAGATGGTGAAGAGCCCAGCTGCTCATGGGTGGCCAGGATCTGGGAGGAATGTGGGTGGGGAAGAGGAGAAGCTGAGTTGAGCTAGGGGGACATCTGCCCCAAAAGGCATACAGACCCAGGGAGGTGTTGGTAACTGCTGATTGGCTCCCGGTTGCGATGGGAGTGCATCATCCAATGAGGAGACAGCCAGCCAGCGGCCACCCGTCAAAGAGGAAAAAGACGGGTACAGCTCAGAGCCGACTTTGAGGCCACTGCTCTGCCAGGAATTACTTTTGAGCCCCTACAATGTGGCAGATACGGGGCATATGCCAGGGTTTCCACTTTCCTGAGGGTCACAGAGTACAACACCCTTATTCCACCCTCTGGGAAAGCGGGGCCCAGAGTCAGGGTGGAACCCTGCACATTGCACCCGCTCGGGGAAGGTCACAGCAGGCGCAGGGGAGAGGACAGGGGATTGGCAGGAGGGGAGGAATGAAAGCAAGCCTTACTGCATTCTCCCTCTGTGCCGCACACTCTTCCGGGAGTGGGTTTCACTATCAGAATGGGATCATTACACCCCCAATAACCCCGCCATGTTACAGCTGGAGAAGGGGAGCTGCAGAAAGGTTAAAGAATGACCTCAGACCCATAGCTTCTAAGAGTGGGAGAGCCAGGGTGGGAACTTGCATGGCCCTGGGGGTGGGCTGGGCAAGGGAGGGGGACAAAGCGGGTGAGAACAGAGGGGGAATGTTGTCCCTTGATGGGTAGATGAGGCGGTTCTAGTCCCAGCCCTGCGTTTGGGGAGCCTTTGGTCAATTCACCCTGCCATTTGCAGCCCGGCCCCCCACAGATGGAGCCACTGGTTTCTCAGTATGGATGTAAGGGTGACCTTAAATGAGATGATGTATGGAAACCACCAGTGCGGTGTCTGGGACAGAGCGAGAGCTCAAAAAATGAAATTCCCACTCTTTTACAGTCCGGCCTGGACCCACTGCCCCGCACTCTGGGGCTCTTGCCCTGGCTCCGGCCGCAATGTCGAGCTGCAGGGCTTCGTGGGTGTGGCGGGAGCCTCCTGGGGCCAAGGGTTTAAAATAGCCAAAGTGGTCACAGCTGTCGGTGGATTCAGGGCCGGAGGTCTCAGGCATCACAGCGGCTTCCCCTCGCTCCCCTGGGGCCCCGAAGAGACCCATGACATCTCCTTGTGCCTTTTGGGAAATACCAGCACAGGGCGGGCTTAGCTCAGGCAGGTTCCTGGCACTGACCTGCACCCCAAGCCCCCAACTCTGGCTCCAGCCAAGCACGTGACTAGAGGGCCTGGGCTGGGAGGGGCTCTTTGGAGCTGTTCCCTGCTCTGATCTTTTCCGGGGGTCTCTCTAGGCCAGGCCTTGGGGGAACCTGGAGGGTGACTCTGACACCCCAAGGCCTGCCTGGCGGAGTGTGACAGCTCACTGAGGGGGTCGCGTGAGCAAGAATTTAAAAACAAAGAGACACACGCTGATCTTTGTGGAAAGATTTAAAAAATCTCATCGCCCATGACCATAGGACCAGCGACCACCACTGTTAACATTTTTGAGTGTGACCTGGCAGCGGCTGCCCTGAGACGTCGACGCTGCTCCCGGCACCGCACTCGCTGAGCCCTGAGGCTGCGCCAGGGGCTGCTCTCTGGGCTTCGCACCTCTGAGCTCACTTAATCCTCCCAACACGCCTATGAGGTGGGAGCTATTATTATCCCCAATTTGTGCAGGGGCATCGGCCTGCCTGGTGGTAAAGAGCTTACATGGTCTTTGGACTTGGCAACCCTGGGGGCGAGTCTAGCTCTGCCCTTCACTGGCTGGGGGACCTCCACTTCTTCTTCCACGTGGGAGACACAGTTGTCCCCCTTTATCCATGGCGACATGTTCCATGACCCCCAGTGGATGCCCGAAAACATGTAGAATACCCTTATATGCATTGTAATTTTTCCTGGACATACATCCTTAGGATATGTTTAATTTATAAATTAGGCACAGTAAAAGATGAACAGCAATAGTAAAATGGGACAATTATAACAATATATTGCAATAAAAGTCATGTGAAAGGGTATTATTAAGTAAAACGAGGGTTACTTAGACATGAGCACTGGGATAGTGTGATAGATCTGATGCAGGGGTGGCTGCTCAGTGACGAATGGGCGGGCAGTGGGCACAGTGGGAGGACTATGGACACAGGGATGGGGGTACCAGGGGGGGGGGGACCGCGGGGGGGGGGGAAAGAAGCGGGGGGGGAAAAAAAAGCTGGACACAGGGATGGGGGTACCATGGACATGGGGATGGGGACCACAGACACGGGGATGGGAGGACAACAAATAAAGGGAAGAGGGTACCATGGACACAGGGATGGGGGTACCATGGACATGGGGATGGGGACCACAGACACGGGGATGGGAGGACAACAAATAAAGGGAAGAGGGTACCATGGACACAGGGATGGGGGTACCACGAACACAGGGATGAGAGTATAATGGACACAGGGAGGGAAGGACCACAGACAAAGGGATGGGGGTACCACAAACAAAGGGAGGACTCCCGTCCCAAGTGGGACAGAGCAGGCTGGTGTGAGATTCTATCATGCTGCCAGGGGGCAAGGGGAAAGTTCCCCTCTTTGCCCTCTTAGTTTCTGGCTGGGCTGATGATCAAATAGACATGAGACAATAACAAAATTTATTTACGTGTGTACAGACAGAGGTTCCATAAGACTGTGGGGTAGTGGAAGCTTAGATGCCACCTTAACCTAGGGAGAAAGGGCAGGTAATGCTTTGGGACTTCCAAGGGCAGGAAGGTGGTTCACTAGGAGATAGAGAAGTGGGTGGTCTGTAGACCAGCCTTTGTGGGGCCCTCTTTAACAAAGGGACACAGAGAGGACCTGGATCAAACCAGCCTTCCTAGGTTCCTCCCTGTGACACCTAGTTGATATTCAACTACCATTATCTATAATTAAAACTCCCTTCCTGAAGCAGGTTCTCTACCTAGGTTCTTTTAGGCAGTGATGGGGAAGGTCAAAGTTTTTTCCTGAGTCTCTATTTTCTTAAAAGTAACCAGCTAAAACACTCAACAAGGCATATTTGGGGATGGCAAACCCTGCTCCCCACACTACCCAGAACAGCGCACAATTTAAAGCTTAAGAGCTGTTTATTTCTGGAAATTTCAGTTTAGTAGTTTTGGATCGTGGTGGACCATGGTTAACTGGAACCATGGAAATCGAAACCGCAGATAAGGGGGACTGGTGCACCAGCAGCACCAGCCCGCAGGGCGGAAAGGAGTAACGGGATGATGCAAGTATGATGCTTAGCGGAACAGGGTCTGGCAGAGACTCAAGTCCCAACAGACGATAGTTACTTTCTACACATGTACACAGTTATTTAAATTTTTTGTAAAAATAGACTTCTGGCTGTACATGCTATTTTATTTTATTAAAAAAAGATTTTATTAATTTATTTTTAGACAGAGGGGAAAGGAGGGAGAAAGAGAGGGAAAGAAACATCTATGTGTGGTTGCCTTTTGCATGTCCCCAACTGGGGACTTGTCCCACAATGCAGGCATGTACCCTGACTGGGAATTGAACTGGTGACCCTTTGGTTTGCTGGCTGGCAGTCAGTTCACTGAGCCACATCAGCCAGGGACATACATGTTATTTTATAACACATTTAAGAAACCTCTGCAATGTGTCCTGAGCATGCGTGCCTAGGGTGCCTTCATTGTTTCCTTCATATTATCCAGAACTTCAGAGTTTGCAAATGCAACCCTGGCTAAGGTTCTAATTAGAAGGAGACTCAGAAGGGGGAAGGGATTTGCAAGGTCACCCAGCCATATGGCACAGGAAGGAACCCAGGACAGGGAAG